GTTGCCCATCAAATTCTCAGGGACTTAAGAAATTTTCCTATGTATTGAGTAAGGAAAGAGGAATAACACCTTTTCTTTAAAGTTGTCTGGGATTAGCCATAAAAAATTAATCCCCGTCTTCTCTAAACTCCCACATTTTCTCTCCCCATTTTGCTTTTGCTTTTTAACAGAGATTAAATATAATGTCTTGAATTATGATAATTTTATCTACTTCCTCCCTTGGATGACAATGTCTTAAAAGGAAAGAGATCTTAATTATCTTGAATTCCCCTAAAATAGGGAACATAGGGCCTTGCAGGAAACAGAGTCACCAGGAAGGAAGAATGCCACTATGCACATTTTGTCTGTTTTTATGTTGCTTTTATAAAAGTGCTATTTACTTATTTCACTTGTCTCCCTAATAAGACTAAAACTTAAGGCAATTAAAATATATATCTTTTCTTTATCCCCTACTTATGTACATGTTTCTTTATCCCCTATTTATGTTCATATAGGTGATAATTAAGCATTTATTTGAGAGTAATCTGCTTATGTTTCTTCTTCATATAATTATATGAACTAATTTATAAACTGAACTTTACACCTATAAGTAGTGGTGAAAGTGTGTCCACTTCTAAGAATGATGAAATTTGAGAAGAAAACTCTTTATCAATAGCATTATATAATGAGATAAAAAAATCCCAAGTACAAAAATCCATTGTTATATTGAGAGGTATTCTTTGAATACTGAAAATTTTCAAAGAAATTTTCCAGCTTGCTATTTAAGCCGTCTGAGCAGTAAATTCCTATCTGCAAAATGGAGATGATAACATCTGCCTCACAAGGATATTGTGAAAATTAAATGGAAACATGTATATAAGGTATGTAGCACTGGGCCTGGCACAGAGAGACACTCCAGAAATAGCACTTCTTTCTCTCTGGTTATTGAAGGATGATTATAAGGAAGGCAAATACTTTCATAAGGTCACAACGATTAATATTTACTTATTGAAACCATTTCCTCCAACTTGTTCATTAAAATAAGCCATTTCCTCCTGGAAGTCTTCTCAAACTAACACAGCATCACACTGAATTATGATACTCCGACATATAGTTCTCTCCACGTACAACAAGGTCCTATGTGTGAAAGTGCTTTGTGCATAGTAAACTGTCACGGTAAGGTAAATTACCATTATTGTATGCTCACATTATAATTGTACTCCATTTTGTAAGTAATATAAAATTTAAGTTCACAAGCTTTATTTATCTAAAATTAACGTTCACAAGCTTTACGTATTACACTGTAAACTCTTTATGAAGCACAATGTTTAACATAACTTAGCTTCACAACATCTGGTTCAGGAACACGTTCCATATGCACTCAATAATTAAACTCCTGAATAACATCAAAATGATATAAGATCTATTTATATGAAAACCAGAATGCATATAAATATTGTTGACCAAAATATTCTGTGCAAGGTAAAACATAAATAAATGTACAAAATGTGAATTCAATGATATAGTTAGTATTTTTTCTAAATAAGTCTCTATATTATAAGCTTTAATTAGAAAAATTAGAAAACAAAGATATTTGGAAAGTATTTCAGTTGATTATATCAACTTTAAGTGCAGTATATAAATGAAAAAATGCTGTTACTTGCATTTACCTGTTTTTTAGCAGAGCTGTGAGGCTCTCAGAATTGAGTTGCTGCATTAAGGCTTCTCTCAGTGTTGGAAGCATGGACAGCACTGTGATATGAACAGAAAATAAAGAAGGTCACAAGTAATATGACTGCCCTCACTGAGAAATGAAAATTGTTTTAGGCTATATGACAGGACTAGCAACTAGTAAGGGTTGGGAAGGAAGTTCAGAGCTAGAGTTTTCAAAATATTTTTAATAATGGATTACAGACTAATAAATCATTTATCTGCTTATGTTATAATACTATGACCACAGCAATGAAAACAAGTACACGTAGAAGAAAGAATGGGAAAAATTATTTCCAGAGGTTAACAGTGGTGGTCTTTGGGCTTTAGATTATGAATAATTCTTTTTTTTTCCTTGTTCTCTTCTGTACTCTTCAAATTTTTTTTATAATAAATGTTTATTTCTGATATACTAAAATGATCAAAAACATTTTTATCTTTAGCTACACTTTCTGCTTCACATTTTATTTCTAATTTTAGAAAAAGGTTTGCTTATTAAAAACTACAAAGCAATAAGCATTTATTATAACCCAGAATAAAGAGCATCAGGCTAGGAATGAAGAGTTGCTGAGCTGTAGTTTTGGTTCTGCCCATGGCTGTTGCCTTTAACTTCCAAGAATAACATAAAATAAGATATAGCATTGTACTGAAAAAAGATTGCACGTAATTTGTAGAAGCTGTTTTATTTATGGCTCTGTGTATGGTATAAGAAATTTTGGAGAAGGACACATACATAAATTCAAAATGTTTCTAATGTTAAATAAGTAATGATAAAATGAAAAAATATCAAGAGGTCACAAACACCACATTTTAAAAGGGAAAACTTAATTTTACGATTTTTACTTCTTGACTAGGTGAGAAATATTAATTACAAAATCCATATTTTTTAATAGAAAATTCAGTTTTTAATCTACTCTAGACAGTTATATCAGTACTGTACTATGTAGCTTCAGCTTATTTCCTTAAACTGTATGATTAAATCACCTAAGTTATTTACACCATTAACTAAAGTAGCAGCTCAGAGCCAAATGAATATAAGGTAGCTAATCTCTCAGTGTACTTGCTATCTATATCTAACCGTAATACAGTATGTTACCTTACCAAGAAAAAGCAAGGCTAAAGTTCTACATTCAGAAAATGGAGTTAGTAGGGAACTAGTTTAAAAATTATGTGGTGTAATGTAACATGATTTGAGAGGAGTCTCTTCAATAATTTTTCTGAGAGATAAGAGCTTTTTACTTTACATTTCAGCCTGTTCAACCAAAGACAAGTCTATTCTTCTTTTCTAGTAACCTGTATTAACACTGAACAAATATGTCTGTATCTAGCTGAATACAGTACTTGTGTCTTCTTTTAGCCATCAGGTCTCCATGATAAATATCCCCAGTCCAACCACAAATTATGAGGTAACCTTTCACCTGCCACGAATCTGTGTGGCCCTGAGCAAGTTACTTAACCTCTTTGTGCCTCAGTATCTTCATCTGTATACTGAGGATAACAATGAATCTACCTTATAGCAGTGGTCCCCAACCTTTTTGGCACCAGGGACTGGTGTTCTTATAAGAATCTAATGCCTGATGATCTGAGGTGGAGCTGAGGTGGTGATGCTAATACAGATCACCACATGGGGAGCAGCTGCAAATACAGATGAAGCTTTGCTGGCTTGCCTGCCACTCACCTCCTACTGTGTGGCCCGGTTCCTAATAGGCCACGGAACGGTACTGGTCCATGGCCCGGGGGTTGGGGCCCCTGTCATATTCAAAAGGATAGAAATGTAATCATATAATTTATAACTCCATTTTCAAGGCATCCAGAAAGCTCATTTGGAAAGTTTTTCAGTGAATCTATATTCAGCTCCTAGTAATCACCATATTTTATCTTTAATTGCCTAGCATCAGCCATTTATTCATTTGAGGGTTGTGATGGCCATGGAAATGTGCCCCAACATCTTCTGCTTGCAAGAACAGAGTTAGCTGACAGCCCCAGTTGCTACACCTTTGGACCCATCACCATGTCTGCAATGCTCACAGCCAACGAGAGTGCTCAGTGGGGATAGTGAAGTAGATCCACCCCTGTGGGACTCTTCTACCAGGGAACTTTGGCTTGAGGACACTCTAATGGCCTGCCAAAACTTTCTTAGAACTGTGCTGAGGACAGAGCCTCATCTTACCTAATCTTCCTTCTGTCTTCCTTTCCATTCACAAGTCAGACCTGCACTGTGGTCTAAAGGCTTTCCTTGCCTACTTTTGCTCCCTCCCTTTTATTCTTTTGTTTTTTTTTAAGAATTTTTTAGAGCAGTTTTAATTTCACAGCAAAATTGAGAAAAAACAGAGACTTCCTGTATACCCCTACCTCCACCCATCACAGCTTCCTTCATTATGAACAACTCCCACCAGAGAAACATCTATTTTTAAAATATTCTCTTTTCACAATATCTATATTAAACTCTATTTCACTACTCAAAGAATTCCATCTTTACTGGAATACATCAAAGCAGACACACTTTCTAGTTCTTCAAGATCAAAACCTCTCCATTCTTTCCTCATACTAGACCTATAAATATCTGGAGCTGCCAAACTTTATCTTTTAAAGTCAAGAAAGAAAGTTTCATCAGTCATTTTAATAATTTGCTTTGTGGTTGCTCTGTTCCAATTAGGGACTAATGCTGTCTAAAAACCTTAATGAGCAGGTTAACTGTTAATAACACACTGAAAAATTAAAGTCCTCAAATGTCCTTATCTTGTCTCTTAGATAGGCAATACCATTGTTATAACATTATAGGAACATACACTTCTTTGCTGTATTTCTGTTTTCAAAACCAAGAGGAGATCCTTAATTTTAGTCACTACGGCTACTCTGAATAAAGTCATTCTACCTGGTTTTTGCCTCACCTAGAGCACAGTATTTTCTTTTTATGCTTGCTGTCCTTATTGCAAAATTCTTTCTGTGTGGCTTTTGCACTGATGTCACTTAAGCTCAATACATGTCTACTCCTTAGATATTTGCTCTACAGACACAAAGGAAACACATCTTACTTTCTATCAGATTATCCCTCTTTTCCTTACTACTTTTCTCGTGCCCCCTCATGTCCTCTGCAGGCACATGCCTCCTCTAGTGACTTCGACCTTAAGGAGACTTGCTCTAAATCAAGGGTGATGTCTCTAGTAATGTATATATTATTTCTTCAGACTCTGAAGCATGTGTGAGAAAAGACCCCTTTTCATGACTGAAGAAGATGATATATTATGATTTCCTCTCAGTTCAGACATCAAATTCTTCCTGAATCCTTTCTTTCTGCCAATGTCGGTTATCTTCTATCAACTCCAGCTCCACCTTTGGGGATCTCTCTGTCCTTGCTAAAAAGTCTATTACTAATACTTCTCAAATTTCAGTATTATTAGAGCCAGTAAGGTTAAGTTTCTGAAGCCTCTTTCCCCAAAATACAGGATTCCTGCCTCTCCTGTATTCTTCAGAAGTACTTCCCCCACATAAGCTCTTGCATATCTAATCCTGTCTTAGCATCTGCTTCCCAGAGGACCCAAACTGACACATGCCAAATTAAGATGCATTTTGAGACTCTAGGACCTACCTTTCTCGTCTGAAAATCTGAGTAATATCCCAAAATAGACTCCTCTTATTCTCTAAAAATTCATTAAAATGTCCTTGGTAACATCACTATATGGAATGCTAAATATCAATTTAAATAATTATGTTATTTTAAAAAAGTTATTTACTATTATATGCCAAGCACTTCATATGCATTATCTCATCACATTCTCATAAAACATTTATGAAGTGGGTTTTATGATCATCTTTTTATAGAGGAGAGAACTGAGATCTACATCTGCCCAAAGACATAAATAATCCAAGGCAAAACTGGGAACTGAACCTGATCTGCTTCACCCTTGAGCCTGGACTCTTACTCATTGTGTGTTATCTGAGTTGTCATTATATACCATGTTTATGATTACTATTTGCTTTACAGAATGACATATTATTTCAAATGTAAAAAAATCATACTCCAGCTGTAACTCTGGATGTCTTGCAACTCCCTTCATCTCAGCCTCTTTAGCTGTCAAAGAGACTGAACTAAAAATAAAGTCCTCTGAATAAAAATTCTACTTTTAAAATTGAACAAGGAGAACCTACCTTTAAAAATTCTAAGTTGTTCTTGAAATAAATGTTAGAGAAAGGAAAAAGCTTTAAATGATTAAAAACAACAACAACAACAAAAAACCAAACCAAAACAGGTTTGACATGGATTTAAAAACTAACTCTTTAGAGTTATGCCAGCTACAACATAACACCTTATTCTTTTCAAATGATTTTGTTATGGCATTCTCCTAGTAGGTTTCTAGCTCTGGAGGTTAAATTATTATCACTAATTATCACCAACTGAGTGTATACTATTGTACTGAATCCATAGGTCTGTAGTTGCCTACCGTCAATTTAAAACGTAACTCTTTACTATGACAGGTGAGGCCCAATGGGATCAGGCCTACTCCTGTAGCCTTACTTCCTATCACTCTTCCATTGCTCATTAAGCTCAAGCTACACAGCCTTTTTGCTGTTTTTTCAATGTGCCGAGCTTTTAACCACCTCAGGCATTTTGCATGGCTCCCTCCATTGTATCACTTGGTTTTTCTCCAATGTCACCTCCTTAAAGAGGCCTGACTCTCCTGATTACTCTACCTTAAAGAGCATCCCCACCCCTCCAGAGCTTTATTCTCCTTACAGCACCCATCACTACCTAAAATTATTTATTTGTTGGCTATCATCTTTTTCTCTTACTAGCACGTGAACTCTGAAGGTCTGGGATTTTGTTGTTGTTCACATTCTGCTTCCAGTACAGGGTACCCCATACGTTTGCTGAATTAATAAACAAAATGAATGAACAGCATTTATATTGTATATTAATACTGGTTTTTAAAATCCACATTGATGTATTTCAGTTAAATTATGTAATAAATACTTGCGAGATTTATCATTCTTCCTTTGCCTTTTAACTTGGTTCCAGAGGTATGCAAATTAATACAAATTATCAAGTAACTTTATACATGTATAAATATTTCTCTTTGTCTTACCTGTCATATTGCAAGTCCTCTGGTTACTTTCAAAATGATACTGTCGTCGTGCTTGGGCAATGTATTCTGCAGCTTCCTTTTCTTGCATTTCTCTGATTTTCTTCTGTCCATATTTCCCCAAGATATATACTCCTAAAATTATATTTTCAAAACAAGCTAGTATATAAATCAGTTAAATAAGAGTATTAAAAATTCCAAACAATATTTTTAACCTGGTTTATCCAAATATAAGGCTTATATTAGTGAAAAGCTAAAAATTACAACTTTTAAAAACCTAAATTAAAGAATTATGTAAGAATTGTGACCTAAAGAGAAGAAAAGATTGGCATTTTAACAGCCAATGACAGATGGATATGTAAGAACTAGGTCTGAAGAAACAGAAAGGAGTTACATCTACAAAGTCTAGCAATGCCTTTCATAGTGAAGTGGAGATATTCTAAATGACCAGCAACAGGGACTCGTTTAAATAAATTATGGTCCATCCACACAATGGAATCTGATGTAGCTATTAAAACACATTACCATACGGTTAATGACTAAAGGAGATATCCATGTTTTATTGTAAGATGATAAAGTAAGATCCTGGAAGTTTTGCTTTTTAATGTAAGCAGATACACAGAAAAACAGATGGGTTTTATTGTCTAACATAAAATAAATGATGATCATTGTTGAATAGTGGGACAGCAGGTGATTTTTTCCCGTTTGCTTCTCTATATTTTCTGTATTTTCTTCAATCAACATATAATACTTTTAAAAAATAAAAGACACAATTTTTAAAAGAATAAAAGAAAGGTACATAATCAGACTTTGAAAACCAGTAACAAGTGAAAAAAGGAAAAAGCAGAGGGTACAGCAATTCCTAAATTATAACAATATAAAAATATAGGTGAGGTCATGTGGCCTATAATTTACTTTAACACATTTCATCAGACAGTATGATATAAAGTTGTACATCTGGTCTATACCCTAGGGGCAGTCAGTTGTCCCAACTGGGAAAGTGACTACTCCAGAATGGTTAGTTAGCACTTGATAAAAAGCCACATTAGGAGGTCTAAGCACTTCAACTAACTTTTATCTAGTGTGATGAATAATAGAAATGGATTTTCATAGATTAAATCTAGTGGTATTTAAGATAGTGGGTCAGCTAAAACATTTTAGTAATATTCACTTGAACAAGAATACATAAATCTAACGAGTCCTTTACTCTTAGGAATGGCTTAGCCTCAGATTCTCAGCTGCTAGTTCAGAGGATACTTACTCAGGGGAGTTAACCAAATGGCTAGCAGATATCCTACAGCTAGAATACTGTTGCATTTTGCTTCAGGGAAATCTTTTATGCATGGCTCTGCTATAGCACCAAAAAGGACACTGGGACTTCACTGAACTCCTAGAACAAATTATGATACTGTTTTATCTATGCTTGATAGCAGATGTTTTTATGTGTGCCAGAATTTCATTATAACGTGGCAAAAAGGTTAAAGGAGAACGACTAATCCTCACCTACTTCCAACTGTCTGGGCCCCCCAATATCTACCAAAAAGAACCTAAGAACTGTGTATAACCTAAATAATTGGTTTTGGTGTCTGTCATGGATGAGGAGGAGGCGGCCCTTTAGGAACTGTAAAGCGAAAACGTATCCTGAATTATTTTCACTAATATAAGCATTACAGATGAACTGATAAAGTGTTATATGTTCTTAAAAATAATAGTTCATTAAAAGGGTATGTTCTAAAAATAATTAGACAGAAATAAATTATGGTTGTCATTATGTTTGTATGCAAATAAATGTATTACAATCATGCTTAAAGAATAAATAAAAGTTCTTGTAAGTGGCTTTACAGCTACCTTTCTTGTAATCCATCCTCAATAAACTGATGACAGTGCCACAAAACCAACAGAAGAAATTGACTTATGTTTCACAAAGTAACCCTCTGACAGGCGACTGTTACATACAACTACTCAAAGAATTGCTTGTATTTTATTTGCACAACAGAGTGCTAAAAGTTATGTGTCAAATTATTATTTCTCAAATAATAATAATCAGTATAAAATGAAATGCTGCAATAATTCCCTTTTCTGGAATAATAGTAAATTTGACTGGTATATGTGTTTTCCTGTAAGAGGGTCCACTGCTTTTCAATAAATTCTCAACAGTGTCTGATAAAAGTTTTTTAGGCACTACTATATTTGATTCATAAATGTAGCATAATTTAACTAAGTCTAAAAGAAGAAAATGAATTGTAATGGGTTGAACTCTGTCCCCTCCTTCTCCCTCTCCCCCCCAAAAAATTCCTATGTTGAAGATCCAGAACTTCAGAAGGTTACCTTATTTAGAGGTAGGGTCTTGACAAAGGTAATCCCCTTAAAAAGGGGTCATTAAGGTCATCCCTAATCCAATATGACTGGTGTTCTTTTCAGAAGAGGAAATGCAGACACAGATGTGTGTAGTGAGATGATGTAAAGACACAGGGATAGGAATGAAAGGGGGCTGTGTAATACATCTGACTGAAAGTAACCTCATAGGGTGTTCTGATCATAAATTCCTAACTGGGCAGGTCATGGTGGGTGGGTCTTTATGCCCCAGGCCTATAAAAAGGTTTATCTTTGCCTTAAGCAAGCACTGTCCATTGTTCTTGTGCATCTAGGTTAACATTCTTTTGAAATGCCAGAGTAATTCTCTCTTTTAGGCACCTCAAAGGAGTAAACACCCTGGAGGAAGCACATATCTTGTTTACTATCCTGTACCTTGCTTTTTCCTATCTTCCTGTAATTGTCTTTACATTTCCTCCATAATTCCAAATGCATTAAAAAAATTGGAAAACTGTCATTCTCCAGAGCATCTGAGATCTTACTTCCTGGCATGTCATCAGTTTGGCTCAAATAAACTCTTACAAAAATTCTCTAAAGGCATGGACGTTGTTTACATCTACAGCAAAGAGATGGCCATCTACAAGCCAAGGAGAGGGGCCTGGTACAAATTCTTCTCTTCTCATATAGCCCTCAGAAGGCACAAATATTGCCAACACATTGATCTTAGACTTCTGGCCTCCAAAACTGTGAGATGATAAATTTCTGTTGCTTAAGCCACTCAGTTTGTGGTACTTTGCTATGGCAGCCCTAGCAAGCTAATACATGGAATTAGGTCAAAGTCCCATAATCCACTATTTTCCTTGAGTTAGCTCTGAAATAAGTTCCTATATAAAAATGTAATTTATCTAGGCTCTCATTCCTCAAATTCATAAATTCTGATTTTGTCAGATGTGTCTCCCCAGGAAAATAAGAATGAAAGAAGAGAACTAATTAGCTAAATTATGGAGCTCAGGATCATCTGACCCTGACTGGCTACCTGAATTCTGGCCTGGAAGACAATTAGCTACTGATGGCTGTGGCACCAACTAGGTAAGTTTAAGTAAATCCCTTCTTTCTCTGGGTCAAAATTTCTTTATTCATAAAATGAAAGGATGGGATTATATAAGCTTTAAAATTTCCTCTGTAGCTATGACTTTATTTATGAATAATGAAGACATTCACTACATATCTCAAAAAATAAATGTAAAATGCTTTGAGGTTTCCTTTCAGAATACTGCTGGTAAAGCAAAATATCTTCTAGTCTGTCCAAATTATATACTTGAATTTTAAAAACTATTTCGCAGTCTCCTCTTCCTGAAAGAAAATCCCTATAATACAACTACTTCACTAGGTTGATAATTTCTATAAAAATTTGAAAATGATCTGATGACATAGCTCTCAATCCAACAGACCGCCAAATTCTGCTATCCTGACTCTTATTTCAGAAATATTTTCTTACTGTTGACACTTTACTCTAACTCCTTTACCACTCTTTTCTTTCAGATCCTGAATATTAAGTCACTGGAACTGGTTTAACAGCTTTCTAACTCTCCTTTTTGGTTTCTAGTCTCACACCTTTCCAATCCAACTTTTATATGCAAAGTGATTTTCTAAAACTTAAATGTGACTACCTTATTTCTGTGTTTAGAATTCTTTAACACCCTCCGTTACTTCTTAATGTGGATTCTCTGTTCCATTTACATCAGAATTACTTGAGGTACTTGTTAAAAATGTGGCTTTTAAGGAAGCTCCTTGAAAACATCCCTAAATGTCTCATATGATGCTGTATTCCCAATACATAATATTGGAATACAATGGGAGATCAATAAATATCTGCTGAATGAATTAATGAATCAATGAACTGCACTCAACCTAAAAAATCAGAATCTGGGAAAAAGAATTCTATAATTTCATTGAGCCCCTTAAGTGATTTTTATTCATACTAAAGTCTGAGAAGCACTGATAAACAGGATAATGTCCAAATTCTGTAGAATGGCACAGTAAGGTAGGCCTTTCACAATCTGCACTCTAGCTAGTTCTCCAAATTCATCTTTTGCCATTCTCCATTTGTGCCCTGGGCTTAGCCATAGTGAAATACACTTTGATTCATCAAAAGTAATGTCTCTGAATCTGCTGAACAATGCTTTTTCCTGCTGTTTCCCCTTCTTCTTTGTTAGCTATACAACTTAAACCAAGTGAATTCTTGAGTGAAGCTTTACCGACGCTTTCTCGTTTCTTTCTCCTCTACGCTCCCGGACAACATCTGGCTCGAGAGTAGGCACTTATTCTCATTCAAATATTTGTTGAATGAAAAAAAGTTACTAAATGAATGCAAAACTTAAGAGACCAGAAATTACAAGAATTAAGATATAAATTTTAAGTCAATGCACTGGAATTTTTAGAAATCGGCAAGCCAGTAAGTATGAATCTGGCTGTTCTCTGTTCTGCAACACTTTGTCTAATGTGTTCTTAGGCACTACTAGAGGTGTTCAATACCCTTTCGGGGGATCTGTAAGTAAAACTATTTTGTAATAATACTAAAACGCTATTTGCCTTTTTCATTCTCATTCTCTTGTGAGTGTACAGTGCAGTATCCTAGAGAATACATGACATATGATATTGCAACTGACTAAATGCAAAACAAGATGAGAATCCAGCTTTCAATTAAGCCAAACAGCAGAGATTTGCAAAAAATGTCAAACAATGCCACTCTTCTAATTAAAAAAATATTATGTTATTATGTAACGGGTTTACTATTGTTATTTTTAAATTATTATTAGCTCTTTAGAGTCCTCAATTTTTAAGTGTAAAGGAGACCTCAGGCCAAAATGTTTGAGAACCATGGTTCTATTCTTTGCATAAATTGGTCAAATTGTACAAATTGGTCTAAAGCAGTTACTCATCCAAAATGTAGGAAATTTCTACTTAAGAAGGCCTGTAACTCAAAAGCTTTTGCTTAGGTTTTTCCCACCACTGAATGGCCAAACCTCTTTGAGCACACATGTTGATATTTTACCTAGCTATTAAGCCTGTCAAAATGTGTCACTTCTTTCATTAAGTCCTTTTCTGATTTTTTATAACCTTATATGCTATCTGTCAGTTTGATCTGTATAGCATTTTTTTTCGGCTCTCTTGTTTTGTATCTATTTTTTTGTATTTTAATTATTTGTATACTTGTTCCTATGTTCTGAATGTACCCTCCTTCCCCCCATTTATATATTGAAATCCTAATGCCTGATGTGATAGTACTAAGAGGTGAAATCTCTGGGAGGTATTAGACCACAAGGGTGGAGCCCTCGTGAATGAGATTAGTGTTCTTATAAAAGGGATTTCACAGAGCTCCCTAGACTCTTCTGCTATGTGAGGATACAAAAAGTCTGGAACCTGGAAGCAGGCCTTCACTTAACCCTGAGCTTGGACTTACGACCTCTAGAACTGTGAGAAATAAATTTCTGTTGTTCATAAGCTGCCCAGTCTGTGGTATTTTGTTATAGCACCCTAAAAAGACTAAGACACTTTGTTTTTCATTCTTATCAGACCATAAAGGCCATAAAGACAAGTGGTATAGCGAGGAAAGAGAATGTGCTTTGGGATCTAAGACACGTGGATTTGAAGTCTAGGTTCCTCATTACTACCTCTGAGACCCTGAGCAAGCTCCTTAAATTCTTAGGAATCTAGTTCCCACATTTTTGAATGGGCATAACAATAACTACCCTGTTGTCATCCCCAGTGACTAGAAAAACTTAGCAGATTGCCCACCAAATAAATGGTAACTATTACTATTAAAAAGCTCTATATATCTTCTATTTCTATCACATTACCTTCAATACTACAGGCACTTGATAAATATTTCTTAAATTAGATTAACTGAGATGTAAGACATCATAGGAAGTAGGAAAAATACGAGGCTCAAACAAATGCCAATCATGGTCATCATTTACTTTTTTCTTTTAGACTAACTTCCTTTTTTTTGTTATAAAAAGGATTATCTTCTCTTCTGTCTCTCTGAACCTTTTTTCTTTCTCATTCCTCTTAATTTGTAACTATAAAGCTATCAAGAGATTTTTGACAAAATCTGTAACTATTTCTTAAGTATACTCTTGTTTCCTCTATGATTACTTCTAATCTACTATTAGATAGTTCCATGTGTGAAGGGGTATGCTAGTCTTTGAGATTGCTAAAAAAAAAGATTTTCTTTCCTTCAGCGGTGGCAAAAATACTTTAGCTTCTATAAATAAAAGGGACTCAGTAGTCTCAGCATAATCTAAATACATATTACATATCAGTGGCTGAAGATATCGGAAAACACATTTTATCTATAAAGGATTTCTCAAAAATGTGATAAAAATTAACATATGTTCACTATCGAATTATGATATAGATCTCAGACACTAGAAAAGACTTGCCCCATCAACGAGAAGCCTGTTTCAAACTTTCAAGAACCAACAGATCTGAATTATCGATGCTAAGAGTATGTTAATTTCCAACTGTTTTGGGGCAACAAAATACAAGAGAAAAGCAACCAGATCCTTTGGGAAACTTCTATTCTTGTTTTATTTATTTATTTTTTAAATAATTCTGTAACCAAAACATGTAATGGTTTCTTTAAAAACTCAAATTCTAAAAATTCCTCAACATTCCTACATTTTCTTTTCCTATATTTCACAAGGCTCTTTATTCTCTCCTTCCCACCCCTGCCTATTATGACATGACTGCTATATGAGGGAAAACTTTCAAGATTATTATCTGTTTTAAAATCTCCTCTCAGCTTGTGCAACTCAGTAATGTCATCTAGATGGGCACTGATCCCAAACTTGAAGATCCTGAAGAAGATTTCACAACATCCAGAAAGCACTGTCTTACTGCATAATATAATGCATAGCTTGGTATTCTAAAATAGCAGAAACAGAGCTAAAATATTAGTTTGTGCTTTTTGGGGGTCTAGTATGTCTTCCAGTACTTCTGTACAATTGTGTTGTTTTCAAAAACTCAAATTAACTTTAAACAACACTCGAAGTGCGGGCTTTACGTGACTCTCTTAGATAATGAAACTTCTGTGAAGGGTGAATGCCAAGCAAAGTACGGGGAGTGCCAAACAGAAAAGAAGAATCTCACAGGAAAACAATAGGAGAGAATTAAAAAACATGTGTCTGCGAGAAAATGGTGTCCTGAAACAGAAACTTAATTGTGGTGAGTTCTACCAAAGTCCTGAGAAGAAAGGAGAGAAACAGAATAAGGGGCAGTGTTAGGGCAAGGCGCACAAATCCCACATTTGGAGAGATGTAAAGAACCTTGGAGGTTTGTCATCCGGTTCCCCTCCGACGGCTGAACGAATCCCCACTACATATCCTGGCCTGTGGTCACCTGGCCTCTATATTTTAGAAAACAGTCATCTCTCTCCCACCCCCTTCTCCCAATGACCCTTTCCAAGAACGCTGTCACCCACCTCCGAGGACCGTGCCCAGGAAGATACATTTCTTTTTGTGATGTTTCAGAAAATTCCACATAGATCTCAGCATCTTCGGGCCCTGGGACTGCGGGCTGCCTGGGCTGGGGGTGGGGGTGGGGTGGTTCACCAGGAAACCGTTTGTCACCTGGTCTGGACGACCCGGCAGGACCGCTGTTGTCCTGGTCGATGCTCTCCAGAAATCACAGACACGACTTTCCGCAGACACTGTCACCGGAGCGGGAAGGGGGCGTGGACTACAGCAGAGCAGCTGCGCTTCCTGTTGCTGCCGCCGCGCCGCGGTCGCCGCTCACAAGTCTGGGGCACCCAGGTCCGTCCAGAATTACTTCCCGAGTGCCTCACTGTTCGACTCCGCCGGAAACGGCGG